TGCAGCCGGGGCGACGTGTTGAAATATTTCGATTGCGCCGAATAATCCCCCTGCCTCTACTCGCTCCGGACTTGCACCCTCACACGCACACTCACACTTTCGTCCTGCGCTTTCCTTCGCGCGCACACATACATTTCAGAGGAGGAGGACGTGTGCAGGGAGAAAAGTGAGTCCGCTGACAGAGAGAGAGAGTGATAGAGGGAGGAAGAAAGGCGGAGAGAGAGAGAGAGAGAGAGAGAGAGAGAGAGATAGGTGGTAAGGTCCCAGCTCCGTGATTTTCCTAGCGCCTCTGTGGCCCATAGGGCTTCATACTGCTGTGGATGTTACTGCGTGTTACCAGCCGCGGCTGCGCCGCTCCTGATTGGCTCTTTGACGCTTTCGGACCAATTGCGTGTCAGCGGGGGCGTGGCCTTGACAGGTCGGGTGGAGGTGGACAGAGTTGAGACTTTATAAAAAGGTGTTTGGACGCTGAAAAAAAAAGAAGAAGAAGAAAAAAAAAGGGGGGACGTTGATGTAAAAACGCCAGTTTGAGTGAGTTCAGAGTCGGTGTTTCTGAGAATCTGTCCACAGAGATGGACCGGTCTGGACAGAGTCTGTGGACACAGAGAGAGAGAGAGAGAGAGTGGGTGTGTGTGTGTGTAAGAGAGAGAGAGAGAGAGAGAGAAGAGGGTCATTGAGCGGTGGAGACTCGCCGGAGAAACAGCTCTTTCTCACGGCGTGCTGTTCCGATTTGTTTCGCTGCTGGTTCTTCCTTAATCCCGCGGCAAATTCCTGTTCTCGTAGGAACTCTTCCAGTGTCGTCATGAAAAAATGTGTTTTCGTGTTTTAAAATGGAACCAATATGTGAAACATTTCCAGAGTTTTCCAAACATTTCCTGTGATCTTTTTTTCCCCTTCTTTTTAAAACCACTGACTCTCTATAGAAATCGTGACCAATACACGATATCGTACAAGAACAAAAACCGTATTTTATCGACCGAACGCACAATAATCGTGATATTATTTTTGATCGATTTTCTCGCGGTCGTGCATTTTTTTCCACTCAGTCTCCACAGCCGACACGTGTCTCTGTGAACGGGTTGAAAATTGAAGATTGAAATAATGAACCTAAATCTATTTAAATGGCAAACTGTATTTAAAAAAAATCATTTTGACCTAAAACGATAACAAGTATCGGCATCTATCTGTGAATGTCACGTGGTGATTATTGCACGCAAAACAAGTAGAATGTGCAGTTTTGTGAGACTATATCTAATTTAATATAAAACACACCCCTGACCCTCAGGATTCTCCAAAAGATTTGAACAAAAAATACGACTTTTTTTTAGCCTAGTTTGACGTTTAAAGCTGTTTTATACAAAAAAAAAAAAAAAAAAAATCCACTCTATGATATTTCTGATGCGACATCTGAGTTTTATCCTTGAATACTGTATTTCTTTGCTTGCAGTATTCCTTTATTTAGCTTCTATTCACAGAATTAAAAACCAAAGCTGTAAAACTGGTGACAGTTCTGCAGAACGGTGTTTGTGTTCATCCTCTGCAGACACAAACACAGAGGACATGATGTCACTTCAGTTAAAAAAAAAAAAATCTCTATTCACTCTCCCCAGGCTCAAACCTTTACCAACAACAACCCCAGTATTTACCTGTTATAGAAGTATATTGTTGTTGTAATCAGTATTTTAACCAAAAAGTCTTGTCCAAAATAACCCCAAAAAAAAAACATTTATACAGATTCCATTTCTCTAAAACTCACTGTTAGCACAAAAAAGCTATTTCTTTTAGATAACCCTGAAAAATATAACGCGACCCACTCCTGGGTATAAATGTTCATTTTACTTTAACACAAAAACAGAAATGAAATCAAAGTTTACGTTATGTAAAACCAAACAAACAACAACAACAACAAAAAAAAAAACCCTTTTCAGACCAATGGACAAAGAAAAGCAAACCCTCAGGTGGGTCGCTAAATTCAAACTGTTGTGACAGTAATGTTGGTCACATGACTACGGTCACATGCCAGGCTTTTGTTTACATAAGTAATAAAAAAAAATTCATACAGTTAATTGTAAACCAGATCCTTTTGAATTGAATTTTCTTTCTGCAAATATTACCATCATTTAGACCGCTGTTTCCCAAAGACTGGGTCGCGACCCTCAGGTGGGTCGCTAAAGTTTTCTTTTTGGGGTCGTCTCGCATCATGTTTCCCAGGAGTTTAGGAGTTTAATGTCTACTGACTTGAGTCGTGAAGGTTTGTGACTTGGACTGATTTAGACCAGAGCAGCTGACCAATCAGTGGTCATCGTTCCTCTGGTCTCGGCTCTCTGTTGCTCGGCCAGCTTCCAATGCTCACAGTTGCACAATGAGCAAAGCTGCGGCGCCTCAGTGTGTGTGTGTGTGTGTGTGTGTCTGGACAGAGCCAGGCCAGTGTTGTGTTGGTGCGATTTAACCACACATTCACAAGTAAACTCAGAGAGCTGTGTCCAGTCAGCCTCCCTGGACAAACATTGACCATCAATTCTCAGTCAATTGTCTGTCTCTGTGGTGTGTGGGTGTGTGGTGGTGGAGGGAGAAGGCGGGAGGCGGGAGGCGGGGGGCCAGAGCGGCGCAGGATCTCAAAGTCCTTCAGGCGCATCCCTGCAGACCGAGACCTCACAAAGTACGCTGCCGTCTGAAGTCTTCGGCCCAGTCATTACAGTGTGTGTGCTTCCTGCAGTGTTTTCTATCAGTGGTTCAATATTAATGCATCTGCAAAGTGGTCAGAAGCTTATCTGCTGGCCCCGGGTTTGTAACATTAGAAGGTGCGATGTACTTGTTTGACTCCGAGCTCAGTATCAAGTATTGTTTTAGTGCTGGGAGCTTAAAATAATCAGCCAATGCCTCAGGGCTCATATCAAGAGCCTCTGGAGGCATTAACCTCAATTGAATTCTCCTGCACGTGTTGGTGAGAAACCGCCGCTGACATGTTTTACAGGTTTCGCTCGCTGCAGCGCACTTGTGGTCGATGATGGTGTGAGTAACAATGTCACAGAGCTGTCTTTGTTTCTAATTTGGCCGTCATGGCTCCCTCTTCTGCAGAAATGAGCTGCAGATACATGTGGAAAAAAAGGGGGTTGCGCCAAGGCTACGTGGGCGCAAATGAGCGTGACCTTTAGCCCTAAACTGGGTTTAAAAACAATGGACTGAATGTCAGTGGAAACGTATCCAAAAATAACCAAATGAAAATGAATCCTGTGGCTCATTTTGCTCCGACTGTAACCTGTTTTTATCTGCTGTAGATCGGTCTCTCGTACTGTATGTGTGGATGGAGTTTCTTTTTGACGCTTTGAGATTGGGTTAAATTTGAGCTGTGGTTTCTGTCGACTGTTAACGAGTTTCTTTAGTTTTTGGCCTAACGTTACCCTAAGGCATTCTTGACTTTCGTTAAAGCTGTGGCTAATTTCCTTGGTTCACTTTTAATTGTCCTGTGTAGTAATTTGTAGCTTAATTAGCTCCTCGGAGAACTTAATAAAGAAGTGATTGTTTAATGAAGTAATTTAGGGGAGAAAAATTAGCAAAGCAAAACTCAGCTGAGCAGGAAATTGATATATATAT